GGAGAAGATCATAGTGGTCAGAGTTGTCACAAAAATAAACATAAGTAGGAATCGGGCCTTTGTCTCTTATAATTCAGTGAGGTTTAAAAATAGGAAAAAGTGAAGAAAGAACTCTATTAGTAATTTATGCATTATATTCACTAGAGGTATAATTTTTATATAAATCTAATTTTTAAAAGCTATTATTTATAAAAAATGATACAGTGATTGTATAAAAGTGAGTGTGGTCAAAGAAACCTCTAGTATTTAGTCTACACTACTCAGGCCGTATTTTCATGGACTCAGTAAATTTCTATTAAATTTTTGGCTGTTACATTGTATGCCAAATTGACTTGTAATGACCCTTATCTAATATTCAATAAAACTTGGAGGCTATTTATTAGAAACTTTAAGTTTTCACCCTAAATATTCTTCTAATTCAAGAGCCCTGAAAACACAGGTTTTGCATTATTCTACTCTGGCTTCATGGCTAATGATGAATATACTTGATGAGGACTACTTCACTTTAAGTGGCAGTTCTGAAGTACTTGCATGGAAGGTGGTGCACAATTAAAATGATTCTAACAGTCTGTTATGCACTGTACACAAGTAATAAAATTAATGGATGCACTTGAAGTAATGATCCATTTCCTTTGGGTGCAATATATTTATTCATGGACTATTTCAGGGGTTGTTTAGAGTATGAGATTTGAATGGATTATGATCCGTTATCCCTGAGATTCTAACGTGCTGCTACCAAATGGCTTCCATAAGTATTGTTCATAATGCCTGGTGAGTTAGTGTTTGTATTCTTAAGTAGCTAACAAAAATTTAGAAACACAGATGCTCAAATGATTGATGCTTAAAAGTTTTCAGATATTTCTGCCTAAAAACTGTCATAAAACTAAACATTTCCAGTTAAGGGGCAATTAATTCTCCAAAATACACATAAAACAGCTATATAGAATAGTATAATTATTCTTATGCAAGTATTCTTTTGGGAAACAGTATCCTTATTTATTCTACACAAGTTTTAAGGGACCTCCTCATAATAGGTAGCTAATTAATTCATGAAGTTGAAGTCATGACTTTGATAGTGGTAGTTTAAGAGAGATACATGAAGTGATATGCCATATTACAATACTTTTGATCCTTCCCCCAAGGAGTTTAAAGCAAACTGGAAGCAAAAGAGACTATGTGCATCTTTGCGTTTGGTTTACTGTGTCTGTGGGTGTCACTTCCCTAATGCTCATATTCATATGAAGTAAGCTATTGATTTGGTATTTTGTGAGTTCACAAGTACACTGTACTTGTTCCTTACCTAGTCTAAGCTGAGTTGGAGTTTAGAAGGACACATTACATTCTTCTTGAGCAAGAAGTACATTCACACATGAATTAACACAATATTTACATGCAAATCCTTCATCGTATATCTTATTCTCTATGATCAACATCATATCTTTACCAGTGACATGTAGAAATTTCTGGGTTTTTTTTTTCATTTTTGATATAGTTGCCCTTTATAACTTTAATTGCAAGTGTTTATAGATATGTGACCAAATATCCCATGCTTTGCTAATAAACTCATGAGTATATCACTAATTGATACAATTTCTTTTAAAAATTTCTACCTATACTTTTTATATCCCATATTAGTGTCTTAGTATATAAAATTAGCATTAACTTTAAAAATGTTAGTCATTAATTTTTTACAAATGACCCCTTTGCAGTTATTAAAAAGACCTCCACTGGGGCATTAAAAAGTTAATTGGACATCAGACTTCAGCTCAGATCATGATCTCACAGTTCGTGGGTTTGAACCCCACTTTGGGCTTTGTGCTGACAGCTCAAAGCCTGGAGCCTGCTTTGGATTCTGTGTCTCCCTTTCTCTCTGCCCCTCCCCCTCTCATGCTCTGTCTCTCCCTTTGTCTCAAAAATAAATATATAAACATTAAACAAAGACACCCCACACTCTCCAATGTAAATGTTTGAAAGATATGATTTCTTCTTTTAAATAATATTTATTTACTTACTTACTTACTTTTTGAGAGAGAGAGAGAGGAAGAAGTAGAGAGAGAATCCCAAGCAGACACCATGCTCAGAGATAGTGACTCTGAGATAGTGACCTGAACTGAAATCAAGAGTTGGATCTGGTGAGCTGCCCAGGCACCCCAGGATATGATTTATTTTAATTGTTGTTAGCTACATGGTATTTTCTATAATTTTGACTAATATTTATTGGTTGCCTGGCAAATGTCAGACTTTGTGTAACTACTTCACACATACTAACTCAGAACCCTCATAGGTATCCTACTTTAGCCTCATTTCATAGATGAGGAAAATGAGATCCAATGAGACCAAATAATCTAACGTAGTTTACTCATTTAGTAAAGGGATTTAAATTCGAACTCAGTTCTAGTATCAGAGCTATTATTGTGGATTTCTAGAACTTTGTTTACCTTCACCATTTGCCCTAATAGGGAGAGCCTTCTTTCACCTATTATTGTATTTAAATTTACCTTTATTAAATTACAAAAATCAATATGTCAATAGTAAGGAATATTATATATTTCATAATAGATTTATAAAAAGTTTGCTTTCTCATTTATTTTAATTCCTTTCGCAGTGATGTTTAGCATCTGGATATTTTTTTGGCATGACATATTGAGCCGATAGTTTTGGGTAATGATCAACAAGGATACATTAAATTCTATACCTAGATTTTAATAGATACCACAGGACCTATTGGTAATTCATTATACTTAGATTTATATTTTTTTTTTAAATTTTTAATGTTTTTTATTTATTTCTAGGAGAGAGAGAGAGACAGCGTGAGCAGGGGAGGGTCAGAGAGAGAGGGAGTCACAGACTCTGAAACAGGCTCCAGGCTCTGAGCTGGCAGTCAGCACAGAGCCCGACGCGGGGCTCGAACCCACGAACCGCGAGATCATGACCTAAGCGAAAGTCGGACGCTTAACCGACTAAGCCACCCAGGCGCCCCAGATTTATATTTTTTAAGATTAAATTGATAGCTATTAGTCATATTGAAAATTAACTTATTTTTTTCATTTGAGAGGAGTTTTCATATGATTGACCTCTCTCAGGGACAATGAGATATTTCTCTGTGTATTTCCATATAATTTAGACAAAGTAGCATCAGTTCATCAGTACCTTTAGCATCTCTTTTCTGACTACCTTGGAATTGGACCACCCTGGTCTTCCTTGTTCTAAATGCTTACTCAAGTTTAACATATGCTGAAAGCGTTTCCTCTAAACATCATTTGTTATATCCATTGCACATTTTTGAATCATTATGTAACATAATATAAAATTTCTCCCCTGTGTATTTTTACTATTCTCTTACATTTTCCAACAATAATGTTAGCATTTTGTCATATTTTTTTTTTTATCTGCGTTACCTAGATGACCACAGTTTTGGATTCTTCTCTGACACTTTGTAACAAACATGATTATCTTATAACTACAGTTACTTCATGGCATCCCGAAAGCATATTTTGGTACAATTCTTGGTCACCGCTTAAAACCAAATTTTCACAAACAATATATCACAGAAAACATCCGGATTTCTCAGCAGGACCACTTGATTCCTTAACTATTAGGAGAGCATTAGAAGAATGTTTAGCTTGTACAAAACTTTTATAGTTGTATATATGGCGATATGCATATTTTTTTACACTTAACTTTAAGAGTCACTTTTCTTTAAAAATATATCAGCCAAAAAAGGAAGAAAACATTGTTGCCAATAATATTTGCAAAGTTTGTGTTCTCCATTGTCACATCAAAAATTTGAAATTAGTGAAGTTAGAGTTAGGTTTCAAATGTATTGAGAGATGTGGTTTGGTGTGTGTATGTGTGTGTGTGTGTGTGTGTGTGTGTGTGTGTGTGTGTGTGTAAGAACATCTAAATTTTGTCAATTAACTATAGAGAGTGAATTTTTTAATGTATAGCATTAAATGATATTGATATTCTTTCATGGTATGTATAGGCTAATACATACTTGTTTTGGTGTTAGTCATCATATATCCCATTATGACAAAACTTGAATAAGATAGTATATATTGGGGTGTCTAGGTTGGCTCAGTCAGTTAATCATCTGACTCTTGATTTGAGCTGAGGTTATGATCCTACAGTTTGTGGGACTGAGCCCTGTGTTGGGTTCTGTACTTACTGTGTGGAGCCTGCTTGGTATTTTCTTGCTCCCTCTCTCTCTACCCCTATTCTGTTCACACACTCTCCTTCTCTTAAAATAAATAAATAAAACATTAAAAAATGATAGTATATATTAAAAGACAGAAAATCCCTAACACGTGTTAGAGTGATAATATGTTTATATTTCCCTTTTGACTTGAATAGATTTTTTTCTGCTTTAGTTTTGCTATAGATGATTTTAAAATTTTCAGATCTCCTTCTCCATTTGTAAATGGTATGTAAGTAATAGGATTTTTTTCATATTAGAAAGATTTTTTTTTAGTGGTTGTTTCAATTCTTTGGACCCATGGAAAACCTGCTTGTTGTGGAGAATTACTGCTTTTTGATAAATACTCTTTTTTTTGAAAATACAAATAATAATATTTTGGCTAAATCCCATACCATTTAAAAAATACAAATGTTAGTGTTTCACTATACATTTTAATAACAGACATGATATTTAACAATTACTTGGAATCCTCCAAAAGATTTTTTTGTCCATGGTCAATCTTCCAGCTGCCTTCAGAAGTTGGATCATTTTTGTTTTTATTTAAATATATTCTACCCCTCTATATCTTATGTGTCCTTATTTACTACTTTATTATATTCATACGCTTCATATGATGCATCTCTGATGAGTTATAATGAGTAATCAGAAATCATTGGTACTTCTTTTCCTTGATCAGTAAATAAATGAGTTGTTTGAAATCCTTCATATGATAAATACTTTTAAACTTGAGACACATTGGTTTTCAGATAATGTCTTGCAGTCTGTGGCTTCAGTGGATATATTTAAAAAATCTTCTTTCTAGAGGGTGTTAATGCTGACAGCATCAAACAAGCCTCAGAACAACTGAACAGCCGGTGGATAGAGTTCTGCCAATTGCTAAGTGAGAGACTTAACTGGCTGGAGTATCAGAACAACATCATCACTTTCTATAATCAGCTACAACAATTGGAGCAGATGACAACTACTGCTGAAAACTGGTTGAAAACCCAACCTACCACCACATCAGAGCCAACAGCAATTAAAAGCCAGTTAAAAATGTGTAAGGTAAGATTGTTTCCTCCTATTTGGATCTTGATCAATAGGAATTTCTTGGCAATTTCCAGAAGAAGAGTAAATTATTTAGTAAAACACTTTCCCTTTGAAGGATTTAAATGCAATAAAGATGAAAATATAAGTGAGGAAAATGAGTTTAAATAGATAATGTATGATGTCTCTGTCCTAAAAAATGTATTCGGAGTAGTCACACATGGCTAATTGAGTTTGTCAGTTTGCAGAATGGAGAGGCAATTTTGGAGTGTGGAAGCAACACATATCTTAGGAGAAATGGCCAATAACTGGGAGCTCTTTTTTATGGCAATTCATGTGCTAAAAACAAAGCTCAGTCATATGTTGAAAAAGTGGAATCCACACAAACACAAGAAGTTGATATATAATTGGATGTGTCGGGAAAATCTTTAAAACTGACAGTTCTCTCAAATTAGGATAATTTGAGGAAGGTATCTTTACCACCATACTTAACCATTGTGCTTGGAGTATAGAGGAACCGTAAAGAATAGTAATGTGGCATCAGAGTTGTAGCCATTCTCAGGACAGAAATGACGGAGGGAAAGAGAAGTTACAGAAACCTACAAGGAGCGAGTTGGACACCCATTGTAAAGACAGCCTTAAGAGCCAGCCCAAGTGCCATTCCAGGAATGGAGCCAGAAAAATAAACATGCCACTTCACTCTACTCTGTGACTTCATAATCTGAATCCAGATAGGGCTCCACATTGGCTAAATTTAATCAGAAGACACCGTAGAAAGCACTCTAGTCTATAATTGTCTTGCCCCTGAGTCCCAAAAATGGACTGTTGATCTGGGGGGGCAAACAATGTATAACTGTCACCAAAGAACTGGAGAAAGAGATTAAAAGAGTATGTGACTAATGTAAGAAAACCAGAGTTATATGATAATGAAAATAACTTTTTTTTGCATGGTTATTATGATCTGAGTAATTTTTTTGGGAAATAGGAAATGGGTAGATGAAAGGGTTTCTAGAATGAATCTTAATGATAGCCTGAGATGACCAGGTTTAATATAGGAAGCAGTGAGTGGGGGTCAACTTGTATGCTTTGAAAAGTATGGTTTAAATAATGGGAGACTGGAAATGGAGGGTTGACATGGTTGATTTAGAGGTGTTGCTGAACCCAGCAAGTTACAGGAAATTCAAAGCTATTTTGAAGTAAAAACAGTTGAAGAACTTGATGATTCTTCATATATTGGACCTACAACTTTACTAGGAAATGCATAAACTCAGGAAATATATTTTTAGATAAAGAATATAGGACAGAAAGACATTTAGTTTTTTATGCAAGTAAGTAAATCTAGGGAATTTTTGTACTTAAACACATTTTGCTGGTAATAGAACCCATGACTCTCTTTTTCCTGTGAATCAGTGGAATACTCCACCTACATTATTTCTTGGAATAAAATTTGATGCTGTTACCTTAACCTGTTTCTTGAGATTCAGATACAAAAAATAACAGTAAAATTTATAAGGAACTGTTAGAGGGCCAATGTGAATGCTGGCATAGACGGGTGAGGGTGGAGAAAAGATGAAAGATGGAGGCTAAAAGACAGGGTCAGAGGAGACAAAGCAAGGACTCTTGGGACCTATTAGGACATTGGTCTTTATCCGAGGAACAAATCAAGATCATTGGTGGTTACAAATCTTAAGAGTTCTCTCCAGGTTGAGAAAGTCATCCTAAGTGAAATTATTTCTTTTTGAGTGTGTGTTGGGCCACAAGGTTCCAAAATTCGATGACGTAATTCCATCCCTTTTCATCACTCCTTACTCTTTCTCTCTGCACCTTTGGTTTCTATTAATTAGAGGAATCACCTTAGGTAAAATATTGAGCAGGATTAGCTCAGTGTCATTCTCAAAACAGTTAAAATTATGCTATTTGGCTGTGATTAATGATAGGTGAATAAATGATTCCATCTTGTTTGTCAGTGCATTCTGTTAGTTCAAGATATTTTCTAAGATTTCACCGCAGTATTAGCTCCAAATATAATGCTTATAAGAACTGGCTTTTAATATGTTGGGGGTTAGAGAACCCTTTGAGAATTGGAAGAAATCCATGGCCCCTTTCCCAAGAAAAATAAAAAAGTTTTTCCATCAAATAAACACAAAATTGTAAAGGATAAACAGACTCAGGGAAAATGTCTTACTCAGGAGGACTTAACCACGTTAAGGCCCTTTTGTGGAAATCAGAAGTAATTGTTAGCATCTTTTAAATGTTAAATATTTCAGGTCAAAATGATCTTTCTTTTGATTTACTCTCAGAACTTTAAGGTCTCAACTGAACAGTTGCCCAAATGTTTTATTAGTTTCAAAGTCCCCTTTGTTTTGTAGAACACACTTTACTATCCTATAGACTCCTTCTATAGCCCCCTAAACAAGAAGAACGAAGGCCCTCCATCTGGCCAAATGTAAATCAGGTTCTTAAATGTTTCACAGCAGATGTCAATGCTGCCATTTGTAAGCCAAGTGTACAAAGTGCATGTCTTCAATTCTAGAATCAAAAACACAGAGTATTACCCTTTATCTCTTGTCTTATTCTCCATCCATGGATATGTACCTACCTTCTGGCCCTTGATTGAGATGCTTTATAGTAGAATGGAAGAGATGAGTCACCTCTCCATTTATATAAATTGCTGTCATCTTCACCTACCAAAAGAATTTGCTTGTCAGAGATTAACCTCCCTGAATCATCTCTTACTGTTAAAACCATATGGCAGCATTCCTTTGAAAGTTATCTTTGTATCGTTTAAAAATCATAACAAGTGACAGCGCCCATTAGGTAGTCTTGCTACTATGAAAGGATCTTTGTGTTAAATTTATCTTATTCAATCCTAAGACAAAAGTTACATTGTCCAAATAATGTGCATGTGTCAAAAAATAGCAACTGTTTCTTTCTTTTCACTTTGACTTCCAGGAAGCTCACATTTATATTTGGTTCATAATGGCTATAATTCTTTTTATTTCTCCCTCCTTCTAATTGGCTTGTGATCAAATTTTAAAATTTTAATTATCTTGTTTTTTACATTTTAAAAGGTAAGCAATCCTGATGTATTTTTTTCTAAAGGCAGCACAGGTGGGAATTATAAGTAAGCAACCATGGTAACAATACTTAAATAAAGAACATTTGGAAATTCTATTTGAATTCAGATTATATATATTCAAAATTTACTGTATGCTTTACAGTGACATCCTATCTGAATCTGGACTGGCCACATTTCAGGTGTCCAGTAGCCACACATGACTAGTGACTGCGGTACTGCACAGCACAGTGGTGTGTCCATGTGACTTTATCATCCAAATCAGGGGGTGCTCTTTGAGAGTGAAAGGGGGTGTTATTAATGGTTACACCAAGAGGGGGGTGTCTGGGTGGCTCCGTCGGTTACGTGTCCGACTTTGGCTCAGGTCACGATCTCACAGTCTGTGAGTCTGAGCCCCACATTGGGCTCTGTGCGGACAGCTCAGAGCCTGGGAGCCTGCTTTGGATTCTGTGTGTCCCTCTCTTACTCTGCCCTCCCTTGTTTCCTCTCCTTCTCTCTCTTGAAAATAAATAAACATTTTAAAAAATGTTTTCTTGCCAGGACAAGAAGAGCAGAGCAAACTCTCACCCACATTGAAACAGTGGTGATTGCCTGTTCAGTCAGGAGATGTAATGAGACCAAATAAGAGATCATTACGGACAGAAATATCTGTGTGTTTATATAAGTATTACATAGATTATGTAATCTAGGTGATATCAGTGTATAAAGATATATTTGTAATTTAATATAGTAGATATGTGTGTAGAGATATGTGATTTATATTCTTCATAAGTGAATCTAAGGAAAAAATACTGTTTATTAAACAAGCTTAGAATTTGAACCAAAGGAACATAATTTTGAGATGAGGGGAGCAGAGTACATTCACATCTGATTCATTGAAAGGATGTAAGGTCATTCATAGTACTTTTCAAGTACATATTCATGCCCATTAATGCTGTAAATGATGTCCTTTTGAAATTTAAAGACAGTTATACATGATGCTATCTATGGAATGAAGAGCCAAGGTATTCTTAAATTGATGCCCTGTGCTAGAGGCTTGCCTAAACTGTCATGGATATTTCGTATCAATTTTTTGATAAGGGCATTAAGCTAAGCTTGCATCACTGCCTTTTAACACCTTTCTTTGCAAAAAAAAAAAAAAAAAAAAAGAAGAAGAAGAAGAAGAAGAAACTAATCTATGCAAAGTAAAAATTTTATTTATTTTAATATTTTATATAATGGTACAGGATGAAGTCAACCGACTGTCAGCTCTTCAGCCTCAAATCGAGCGATTAAAAATTCAAAGCTTAGCCCTGAAAGAGAAAGGACAAGGGCCAATGTTCCTGGATGCAGACTTTGTGGCCTTTACAAATCATTTTAACCAAGTCTTTGCCGATATGCAAGCCAGAGAAAAAGAGCTCCAGACAAGTAAGTAAAAATACTTGAAATGGCTAATTTGATATTTTCCTAATTCAGTATTTGTTGGAAAAAGGGAAAGTGCTGACATCAAAGAATAATTTCTATCAAAGGAATCCATTGTCCCTCCATTCTGTAGTAACAAGTAATGAGATACTGTTGTTGGAAAACATATGTGTTGCATTTCCATTTCTCCCCCTCACCGACCATATTAATTTCATGACTTTGAGGAACAAATAAAATATATAAAACATATATTTTATGTTTTATAATGTCTCCTTGGTGGGTTGCAAATTTTACAATCAAATATTTTGAACAGTGGAAGAAATAAAAGAATAGTTGAAGCCCTCTTGGTGGCTTTTCACTATATCCCGTTTGCTTTATGTACAAGGATAGTTAGCTAGGCATCTTACTAATACTTCTATCCAGTTTATATGAAGACTATTATAGCTGTAACAAGCATGTAGCAACAGAATTTCAGCCAAGAGCAAATTATTCTTTGGGCTGCATTTTACTTAGTTCACTGTAACTATGCAGTTTCCTCTTTTTCTCATTTAGTAGTAAGATATTACCTAAGAGCGGGGCACTTACACAGATGCCTACCATTTGACTAGCACAATTTTCAAGATGTCTCTTTTGATTCTCATCAATTTGCTCTTACACTATTAATACATAATATCTGGTCCAAAATAGCCCTACTAATCAGCTTAATTCTTAAGACAAAAATTCCTTTGACAGACTGGTTTATGAACACTGCCAAACATTAGTAAATGAGTTTTTGGTTTACCATACACATACATGCCTATGTACATATGTGCGTACAGAAGATTATTGAGCAAAATTGGATTTTAAGGCATTAAGATAAAAATATTTTTTAAAATATCTTCCCCAAATTTGTTATGAGAGGCGCAAAAACAAGTATTTGTTTTCTACTAAAACTTTAGTTAGAAAACATGTTTTGACTACTTTTCTTTGCAAGTATCCAAAGAATTTACCACACAGTAATGTTTCTAAAATCAATGTAGTGATATACATCAAGCTTTCCCTATTTTACTGGTTTTTAAATTTTTATTTCTTCCTGAGGTCATGGAAAGAACTGAAGAAAGTAAATGATAAATGCATTTTTTTCCTTCTTTTTTTTTGTTTTTGTTTTTGTTTTTGCTTTTCCTTTAAAGTCATTTTTGCTGAGGGGTTTGTTTTCCTGGTAGGCCATCAGTTAATACAACTTAACAATGACATCAGCTCCCTCTAGTGGATTTCAGCATACTTGTTGCTGGGCATCCATAAAATTGGGGAAAAGATCATGAGTGTCCTAAATTTTCAAACACTGACCTATTTAACAGTAATTCATTTTTCTTGCCATTAAATCTGTAAGCCTTCCTTAAAGTCAAATACATGTTAATTGCCATACTGGAACTGCTGGCCAAAAGAGATTATTCACTAGAATATTATTTTAATTTACCTATACCCTATTAATTATGTTAAAGTTCAAAATTTTTTGTTTATTTCAAAAATGTTCAGATTATTAATGTTTGTTGATGCTGAGATTCAACTATGATATTCCAATATAAATATACAATAATATATACTGTCTATCCACACAACCATCAATCTATCTGTATTATCATGTCTTCTCTTTCATCTTTCATATATATAATGATTGTTTATAAAACTCCCCAAAACTTTCACTCCATTTATTTGTAAATAAAATGCCCTCCTTTATACTTTATTTACCAAAAAATCTCTGCCAATTTTAGGCACACTTCTAGAAAGTTTGTCTTGATAATTAATAATTACCAATTAAATAGGGATTATATATATGAATTATAAATTCTATAAATTATATATGTACATATGATTTATATGTTATGTATGTATGCTACATATAAATAACAAATATATAATTATATACAATTATATTCAATGATAATCAAATTATATAGCTTATATTTTGCATGTATTTATATTACAAATTTATATAAATAACTTTATATATTGTGTATTAATATGTAATATTATATACCTTTTCATAAATGGTAAGTATAAAGTTCACAATTTCATATCATATTATAGTTCAGTTTGTTAGTTGATAATTATTTCCAAAGAACATTACATATGTATACTTTACCTCCAAACCAGCCCAGGGGAGTATATCTTACTTCTTGTATTACTCCATAATACTTTGAGCTTATTAAGTATTCAGAAAATAAGAGCTAGCACAGGGGGCAGGAAGCCATTCAGACTTTCATCTCTTCTTTCATTTTTTTTATTTTTACTAGCATTCTCACAATGAAACCAAAACTTGACTTTTTAAATATACTTTGAGTGGTGAAAATTGGTCCAAGTAATTGCTGACAAACATTATATGAAGAAAAATAATATTAAAAGATAAAACACATTCTGTATTCATAGTAATTTTCCATCTACAAATATCTTTCATATAAATTACCTTTCTTAGTTCTCACAGAGCTACCCTTTGAGAATGTTTTATTATCCCTGTGTCACAAGTGACCTAATGGATCTTGAATAACTGATAGGATGGGTATTAGATTGCGTAAGAAGTAGCAAGTATACATGGATGTTCAGAGCACCATTATTCATGATAATGAAAAAGGGGAAGGAATTCAAGTGCCCATCACCTGAGGAGTAAAGAAAGAAAATGGGCCTATCCATACAATGAAATATTAATAATAAGATGTAATGAAGCACTGACACTTGGTACAGCATAGGTGAACCTTACAAACATGCTGAAGAAAGAAGCCAGCTCGAAGAGGCATATATCTATATATATATCTATATATATAGATATAGATATATACATACACATATATGTGTATGTATATGTATGTGTATGTATATATGTATGTCTATATGTCTATATATGTATATGTATGTATGTGTGTATATGTGTATACATATCATATATATATAATATGATCATATATATATAATATGATTTCATTTTTAGGAAGGCCCCTCATTGGCACACCCAAAGACATAGAGTATAGATTAATGGTTGTCTAGGGCTAGAAGATGGAGAGAGTAAAATTGTCTCCCAAACCATTTGCTACAAACCCATTGCAGAAACTGCAAGCCAGAAAGAGCATGCTCTAATCTAGATGGATATAAAAAAAAAAAAAATAGCAAATGGCTTGTTACAGTGATCTCTTGTTTAAACAGGAAAGATTTTAAATGTACTTTCTACATGTAAATATGAAAAAAATTGTAATATAGTTTGAATTTATTTCAATTGTGAAGTATAATTATGTCAGGAAAGTAATTATTTGTTTGGTTTTGCAGAAAATGGAGAAAGTGACTACATTAGCTATGACAAAACAAGTGTTTTTGTTTTCATTTTGCCTTAAGCTTCACAGGAAATTTCTTTTGTTCTATAACCACAGATTTCTAGCACAATACTGTCTTTTTGTTTTCTTTAAAAAAAATGATAAGCACATGTAACAGGGGATCTACACTCTGAAAAAATTTATGAGTGCAAATTCATGAGGCTCTTGACTGTAGGCAGGCACAGTGGTATTGCACGGTACATCTCTAGAAATTAACTCTTGCATGACTAAAATTTTATACCTGACAAACAGTAACTCCCTATTTCCCTTTCTCTCTAACCCCAGGAAACCACAGGGCTTGCTATTCTCTGCTCCTAGGAGTTCGACATTTAGCATAATGTATTCCAAGTTCTTCCCGGTTGTCACCTCTGGCAGGATTTCCTTATTTTATTAGGGTGAATAATATTCTGTTGTATGTTTATACTACATTTTCTTCCTCTGTTTACCCATTGGTGGGCATTTAGTTTCTTCCCATATCTTGGCTGTTGTGAATAGTGATGCAATGAACGTGAGAATATAGATATCTCTTCAAGCACCTGATTTCATTTGTTTTGGATATGTACCCAGAAGTGGCAGTGCTGAATTGTATGGTAGTCCTATATTTAATTTTTTTTGAGAAACCTTTATACTGTTTCCCAAAGCACCATTTTACATTTCTGCAAATGGTGGAAGGTGCCAGTTTTTCCACATTCTCAGCAGTACTGGTTATTTTTTGTTATTTTTTGATAATAGTAACCCAACAATTGTAGAGTGATAGCTCATTGTGGTTTTGATGTGTATATTTTTCATAATTAGCGTTGTTGAGCAGCTGTTCATATATTTGTCATTCATTTGTACGTTGTCTTTGGAGAAATGTCTGTTTAAATTCTTTGCCCCTTTTTTTGTCTAGTTATTTCTTCCTATTGAGTTGTAGGAGTTCCTTATATATTTTAGACACTAACCTCTTAGCAGTTATATGGTTTGCAGATATTTTCCCCATTCTGTACATTGCTGTTTTATTCTGTTAATTGTTTCTTTTGCTGTATAGGAGCTTTTTAGTTTCCTGTAGTCCCATTTGTCTATTTTTACTTTTGTCACCTGTGCTTTTTAGGTCAAATCCAAGAAATCATTGTAAGACCAGTATTATGAAGCTTTCCCCCTGTGTTTCATTGTAGGACTTTTGTGGTTGCATTTTTTAAAAGGTTTGTTTATTTTTGAGAGGGAGAGAGGGAGGGAGGGGGAGGAGGAGGAGGAGAAGGAGGAGGAGGAGGACGACGAGGAGGAGGAGGAAGAGAGAGCAAGTGAGGGCGAGACCAAGCAAGTGGAGAAAGATCAGAGAGAGAGGGAGACACAGAATCTGAAAGAGGCTCCAAGCTCCGAGTTGTCAGCACAAAGCCTGACAAGGGGCTTGAACTTGGAAGCAGCGAGATCATGTCCTGAGCTGAAGTCAGATGCCCAACCAATTGAACCACCCAGGCACCCATCTGGTTGTATTTTTCAGTTAAGCCTTTTATTTAAATTTTTTTCTTTCATAGTTTATTATGAAGTTGGTTTCCTTTCATTTTATTTTTTTATTCTTTTTTTTCTTAAATAGTTTATTGTCAGGTTGGTTTCCATATAACACCCAGTGCTCATCCCCACACGTGCCCTCCTCCATGCCCATCACCCCCCTTCCCCTCTCCCCCATCC